CTGTATATGCTGCAGTCTGTAATTGAATCGCAATTTCTAAGCCACGCAGAGTGTGGGTTGAGTGAACTTCAACAACAAACCGAAAGGTAACTTTATTTTCTTTCGGGCGCCGGGACGAGCTTCTCGAGGAACGCCCAAAATGGAAGCTCTCGTCGAGATCTTCCCCAGCACTCCGCGCACCCCGGGTGCCGGCGTATACAAAAAGAAGGGGATTTTATTAATGAAGGACGAACACGTACACCAACCCCGGTACACACGGTCGCCCCTGCCAAAGGCAGCTTCCGACAAACCCGCGCTGATTCGCATCAACAGACCGGAAGAGACGCCCGATCTGTCTTCACGGCAGAAGCTCTCCATGAGCCGTCGATGCTCCGGACCCTTGCCCATGCTCCTTATATTAACATCGTACGTTGTACATCACCGTCTTCAACACAACAAACCATCTGTTTTCGCTTTGGTTCCGATGTGTTTTTCGAAGCTGCGCTGCCTGGACGGCCTCAGTGGCGCAGGCGTTCAAAGTGCATTGCTGGTATTCAGCACAGGCACTGAAATATCCCAGGTTAGAAACTTCGGCACCAACACTAAATAAAGTGAGAAAGCGAGTGTAAAGGAGAATTCCCTCGGTCGAGACACTGCACACATAACCGCGATCAACAAGTTTCGTGCACAGGACTGCGAGCGTTGGTTCATTACATGTATCCCAACTTTTTTGACGAATGTGCGTTTATTTCGCTATCGTTTTTCTCAGTTAGCATGTTTTCACGTGCCGCCACCATGCTTACAGCCTTAACAGTTTCACCCAATATACATCGCCGCTGTTTTGTTCAGAAAGCACGATCCATCGCATAATGCAAACGGAATTGTTCTTATTCAGCCCTCCTTTTGTGTGTAGATCGTAATGTAGTTTAGTCCTCCCACAAATGCCACGAACGCCCCAGAAAATAGGCTTTGGTTCGGTATGAAAGCGTAAAAAATAGCGATGCAAATTTTTCTTTTGTTTCGTGTTTGTTTTTTTAGGGGGTTACTGGTACCTATTTTAGCTCTAAGTAAGATCATGAATTACAAACAAAATTTCAAATCTTTTATTTAGAAGGTTGTCATGCCACACCGACTCAATATCGGAGATACGCGAATAGCTGAAACGGAGCACAACGTCCATCAGCGAAGATTCCCGCCAGGTTCGCCGTGAGATAGAAACTGCTAACGCAAGTTTCGGAAGCGGCAATTAGGGGGCTCTATCTATTTCGGGCCAACGGACGCTCTCACCGGCCGATCCTACCGACTGTCACCCTTCACTCTGTGGCCCGGCCGGCCGTGAACCCACGCCGTGGAGCCCAGGTTAAAAAAAGGCGGCGTCTCAAGAGCGTAAGCGGCTGGAGGAAAAACCACCGGCAACGTGTGTCTGCGCTGCGCTCTGCTGTCTACTGTTCAAGGTGTGGCGGGACTGTCGTGGGGACGTTGACTCGGCGACACGTCCCATCTTTTGACGCAACAAAACAAAAACCCGAAACCCAGCTTGAACTGAGTTCCTAGCGGCACACGTGCACCTGCCCAAGCAAGAAGAAGAAAAAAAGAGGAACGCCTACCGGGACTCAAGTCCGAGCTTTGGACTTGTGGGACCACATCCGTGACACTCACCTCAGCTTGTCTCTTGATCTTGCACTGTGTTAAACTTGTCGGTCATGACGAAAGGTGCCCGGAATAAGACTTAATGTCTAGGGGTAATATGATGAAACGATAAAGAAAGAGACAGAGAAAAAAAAAATACTAGATGCCAACTGCCGTTATTCACCTGCGGAGGCATGCGCGGTTTAGAGAAGCTTGTTTTAGCGAACGCCGTTTTACCCAACCCGGCTCATCGAATACATTTATAGAGAACCCAGTTGAGAGTACATGGCGATGAGCCTCCTTTTAGCGAATTCGGCCACCGCGAAGCGGCGTGTACGGGGAAATCAGGTATGTTAACATTTTTGTAATGAGCCGCCGCAGACTGCCGCCGCGAAGCGGCGGGAGCGCAGCGGGGGGCATGGCTTAACACGAGGACCAGTGATACACGCGAGAAGTAGGGAAGCCTTTTTTTTTAAGCGTCCCCTTCTCGATAAACGGCGTTTCTCTAAACTGAGGCTCTGCATTCTCTAAACGTTGCTTCGATAAAACGTGCCCCTTCTCTAAAACGTGCTTCGATGAAATGGCATTCGATCAACCGTAGTAAACCCATTCACCTGTGCTACTCATTTCGCTAGATCGAGTAATGGGGAAGGCGTCTTATTGCCCGGGATTATAATATTACGAAAAAGAGTCAGTGCTCCACTTTACTTTATTGTGATGTCTACGTGCGCAAGCAAAACGTTTTAGAAGGATGGCGATAAAACTGCGTAATGCTGAAATCCAATTCCAAAGCAGACAGAAAGCGCTGTCGGTCAGTGCGAGCGCTGATCACACGGAGCAGCCTCGACACTCCAGCAATGTAAAAAAACCAACACCAAATCAAAGAAAACATAAATATTGCAGCGGATCTTATTTGATTAAACTTGATGCCTGAAATCTATTCCTCGAGTCCCATCTGGACCGCCGAGGAGGACGAAAACATAAGGGTGCCAACGTCTGAAACGAATGGCGCATTTCGTGCCTTTTGGAGGGAGTGATACTTCCAAAGTGATACCGAAACGATCTGGTTTTAGGAAGAAAGCTGGAAGACAACATGTTTTTTCACAAAAAAATGTGCTTCGTCATGCGTGTCGGTCCTTGTTATTGTAAAATATGGCGCAGGGTAACAAGGAAGAGTTTGAACTGGTCGTTTCCGTGGTCACGATAGTAGTCTATCCACTACTGCGAAGCAAGCTCTTGCGTGAAGACCCAACATACCTACAATAATCAAAGCCTGTGAGATCCTTTATCTTCGCGTCACGTCATCACACTCTTGTGGCGCCAACTCCGCACTTGGGTCCAAACCCGACGCCGTCCTTCGACACATTCACTAAACACGAAGTCCAACCGAACGCTCTGACTGCACTCGTGTCTAATCTGTGTTTGTCTCACTGTGACGATGGTGAAATGCTAGTACACGGCCTTTGATTAGGCAGTGTTGGCAGACCTCGGCTATATATTAATTTCTCTAATATCCTAGTTACACGGATATAAGAGAAATTGATAGATAGCCGACGATTAACTGCGTCAGACTTAACTGCAGTTAAGGGAACCAGCGTAACTAGGGTATAGTGGGCAGTAAGTACTCGTAACTGGGGTTTAGGATGCCCGTCGGGCACCTTTAACTACTGTTAAGTATGACCTCAGTCACATCTAACTGCGGTTATAAGTACCCGCGTAACTGAAGTATAAGAGTGGATAAACGCGATATAGCATATTATGATATAGCCACGCTTGTTCCACGCCTTTCAAGCTCGGAAGTCGGCGCTACAGTACGTTGGCGTGTCCTTGAACCAATAAACGCAACCCTACGAGCATTCTCTATCGCCGCTTCTCTCTCATCTTTATATTAGACACGTGGGTGGTCGGCATGATGCATCACTCGTTTTCTTCGGTTCGTTCGCCCTCCTTATTCGCCCCAAAACTCCACCGCGAAACTCGCATTCTCAGACGTAAACGGAAAAGCCAAAACCAAAAATGTTCACACGCACAATTGTGCTAAGGGGAAGCGTTTCCAAAATAACCATAACGGGACGGAGCGGCGGTGGCCGCCAGGGCGACTTAAAGGGAAGGCTGGCACAGGACCCGCGCAACGCAGCAGCAGCTGCTTCCCTTCCTCGCAAGCGGGGCACCTCGACCGCACCGACGCTGGCGGAGGACATCCCGCTGGCATTTTACGCGTTCGAGCGTGCTATATTTAAAGTGGCATATTTCAGCGTGCCGATGCATCACCCGCGGTAACGGGACTTGAAAAAAGGATAACGGCCACCCGCGAGGAAGGAAAACCAAAGAGCAAGCTATGGTCTCCTGTCCCACGGCCTCGTCCCCACTCTTTCAAAGCGACCATCGCTCAGGAGGGTAAACCGGAGCCTTGAGCGTGCTCGGCGAACTAGCGGCTAAAGCGCCGTCCGTGTCGCACCGTGGAGGTCGCCCGCGACGTTCCATCCGTCAGGGACGTGCCAGGTCGATGTCTCGGTCCTCGTCTCCTCCGGGGTCCGCTTAGTTTAACGCTCCGTCTGGGTTTGACGCTGACGGATTCGGAGACAACGAAGACCGCTTTCTCGTATCGCGGGAATATCGTAGATGTTTTGCAGGCTTTCTCGCCCTGGTTGTTTGCCTGTCATCTTACTGGCAGCGTTCGTCTTCGATGAGATGTGTCAGCTGTGATCCGACGTGTGCGTGTGCGTGTGTGCATTGCGTCGCGTCCTTATGGCTTAGCGCCGCTATCGATCATCGGTTTGTTCACTCAGCTCCTCTTTCGAAGGCAGACAGCCAACCGCTACTCGGTGATCGGAGTTCTGTTTTCTGTAAATACTTGCTCGTGCGAATGTCTAGCCTCACTTGTCAAAAACGAGAGCTGGAGTGATTAAGAAAAGATCTGTAAATTGATTCATGTCAGCAAAGGCATGTGCAAAACTAGTGGATGAGGAGATTTTACTGTCAACTAATGCCACGTACTGTCACCCTTTTTCTTTATTGCTTTTTTATCTTCCAGCAGTTTATGTTAAAAAAAAAACAAAAAAAACAAAACACTGTGGATGTTTTTGTAACAGATACTGAAATATGGTTGATTTAACTAATGCCTGCAAAACGAATGAGGTGGTGAATGTTCGTTTTAAAGATAAGCCGAGGCTATATGTGTTAGTTTTCTATCCTTACACTAATCGCCCTCGATTTTTTTTTTAATATATATTTCTATATGCAGTAGCTCGTTCCATTATCTTGGAGATCCTTGATGGCCGTGATGGTAACAAAAATGATAATGATGGTTAAAATTGATGATAAGGTGATTGTAGCGGGAGTGATTACGAAGGTGATCAGCATGACAGATGGCGAACGAATACTTGATGCAGGTAGCCGAGAGCAGCCTGTGGACCTGTACAGGGACGACGGTTCCTCCACCGAGCCTGTGGCAGGAGGATCTTTCTATGGCAGCGGCCGACTAAGCTTCACGCGTAGGGATGCGCCCAGGGGCATCTACATGCTCGAGTTCGACTCCGACAGCACGGACACCAGCGTCCGCGTCTACGGAACGTCGGACTCCGACACCCACTACCCTTTCCCGCAGCTTCCTACCAAGGCCAAAGTGGATGTCCTTCAGGTACGTAAATCTCTGGAACCTCAGACTGGAAGACAGTTTGGGTAGCCTGCCACGTACAAAAGTAATAATAAAACTTAAATGAGTTATTGCTACACTCTCACGTTATGGATGGTGCATTTGTGTATATCACGCCATTATTAACTCTGGTTTATTTTCTATTATGTGGTTATGTACTCGCCAGCTGATATTTGCCCAGACAAGTGTGCACGTACCGTCAATATTACTGGATATATCTCATGGCAAGGCGTTCTTAGCTTTAAATATTACTTCACAATCGTATTAAATCTTGCTGCCATATAATGTCCAGGCCATATCATCTGCATACAGTGACGCTCCTCAAGTGGGATAACCGTCCGACAGTTCATGCGCACACTGCTAAAGTCAAAGCTAGAAAGGTCTTACTGTATTTGAAAAAGATAAACCTGAATGTGCTGCATATTTGTGTTCATGTTTTGTTGTGTCCTCTTATAAATTTGATTGTCTTTTCAATTTGTCTTCCCAGGGGCAGGAAATCTCAATGCAAACAAACAATAAAAAACTGCCGAATCAAACGCCAAAATAGTGACTCACAATAATTAACTTCACCGCTTACACTTTGAAATCTAGTCGTGAGGTTCATAATCTTCCAAATCTGCTTATACAGTGCAATCCACTTATAACGATACCACATATAACAATATACCACTTATAACGATCAGTTTATAGAGTTTCTAGATTAGAAACGCCCAGTTTCTAGTCCAGGTACAACGATAGTCGGTTATAAAGATTGCATTTTCGGGTTTTCTCATTATCGTTATAGGTGGATCGTACTGTATATTTTATTGAGTTAACTATGATAGTGCGAGATACGATGGTCTCAATCTCAACGTTGGTTTATTGTATGTCCGGCCCCCCTTTGCAGATCCGCAACAGCCGTGTGCTGTTTACATGGAAGGCTAGTCCGTCGGAGGCCCTCGTCGATCAGGACGTGCGGTATTGCGTCGCCATCAACCGGAAGGGCAACTTCGACACCATGTGTGCCGTCGAAAGCGCGCTGCGAGGCGATGTGCCCAAAGTTCCCCACCAGGATTCCGGCTTCGGTTTCTGGTGGGAGAAAGCGGCTCACCGGAAGATGGCCCTCAAGACTCGTGAGATGATGCGAAACGTTCACGTACAGAAGGACGTCGCCTTCGAGTGCATCGGTCGCAGGACGTGGCACAGTTTCGCAGACCTCGAGGTTGACCAGAGATACTTCATCGACGTCTTCGCAATCAACTCAAGGACCAACGCCAGTTCAGCCTACCTGGGCGCCAGTGTCGTCGCAAGAAACCCAACAAACTCTAGGATCCAAGATAACCAGTTGGTGCAGATTGTGCTGGACCAGAAAGATGCTTTTTCCAGTGTGGCCAAGTACGCGGTCAATGCCAATGTCGAAATGATCTGGATGTTTGTTCAGTCATGTTCTGGACCGGGACCAGTGCAACTTTCCGTCACTCAGCGAAAGAAAAAAATCCTCACGGCCGAAGTGATGGAGACGAGAACGTTGACAATCAACCACCCTGCCAACGGTACCTACGTGGTCAAGATATCGTCAACCGTACCGCAGCTGAGAAGGGTCCACCTCTTGGTAAGCAAAAAGTACCACAAATTTCCGTTTCCAACGTTGCCCGACGACAGCAGCATCAAAGTTATGGGATCATTGACGACCTGCAACTCCGTCACCTTGGCCTGGAAGGCAGCATTGGACGAGAAGGTTCGCTACTGCATCTTTAAGCAAGAGATGCGAGGAAGCTACTCTGGCGTGTTCGCAAAACCCCAAGACTTCTGCACCGAAACTAAGGCCGTGGAAAAGACAGGCAAGATCACATGCAGGAGGTACCATCGGTTCAGTAAGCATAGGTTTGGTAACGTCATAATGCAGAAAATAAGGAAGCTTCAACCAGAAACGACCTACGTGTTCGAAATACTTGTGACTAAGGCCAGAGGACGTACTCTAGCCTACGAGAAAGTATGGGCTACTACTCAAAGAAATTGCACGCCGTCTTACAAAGGCAAGCGATGAGTTTCTCGTGTCTGAATCAAAGAGCGACATTGGAAAGACGTGGTTGTGCTGCATGACATTTTTACCAGGTGGACACCGGGAAAACGGTCCTGCTTGAGGACAGTTAAAGACTACAGACTAATCGTCCTAAAATCAACGGACAACGGTGGTGCGAAAGTCCGACCAACTTCATTTCTTTGCCGAACATGTGCCGTGTCAAGAAGAGATGACGTTTTTGTGAGGAGTGATGATAGATAAAGGGAACAAGAAGCTCTCCGAAGGGAGCTATCTATTTATGCACTTTGTACATTATGCTTCATACCATCGTGCAAATGTTTTTCTCAGGTTAGATATAGCCTATTGAGTAGAAAAAAAAAGAAAAAAAAGAGCCAAGACAGACTTTTTAGCGTTTGTTGTGCTTCGTTACCGATGACAGTTCCTTGTGTCGTGTGCATTTTTATCTTCATCCGCGCAACGTGGTGTACAGTTATTTCGTACACGCATTTAGATGCGCAATTTAATGGTCGACTCTTTACAATGCACGTTTCGTTTTGAGAACAAATCCCTTTCATCAAACTTCTATCGTAACCAAAAAGGAAGGACGCCATCTATTAAAAGCCACATCATTCATGTTCAAAGCATACAGCACACGAACACGATTTTGCTTGCCTACATACATTTTTCTTTACCTAAAATTTTTGTTGTATTTTTTTTTTGCATCGTCAACGTAAACTTAAAGAAAAGGCTAACAACGTCTCTGGAGAGCGACATACTGGAAATAACACAAAAGTTATAAGAAATCCGGTCATCGTACCATACCGGCAATGCAAGAAGCACCTGCAATGCAGTAAGTGCTGCGAAAGTACAACACATAATTACATCTACAAACGTTACTTACGCAATAACATCATTAGGTAGTCACCCCCCACTGTGCGACCTCATTTACACTCACAGATTATTATTTTTTTTCCGCACGCCTACACTGTTTCGAGGTGACTAGCTGTAGGCTTCTGCGCTGACCATGACAAAGCGACTCCCTGGTTCAAGCAACTGTGTAAAGCTCACGGGACTAAAATATCCTGTATGTGCTAGTCAAATACAACATAGGGGCTGCAACTTCCCCAACTGCAACGTTTGCTGTGTGTGTATGTCCGCATGTGTGCGTGTTTCCAAGTTATTTTGCACTCCCTGACGGCTTATTTAGCAAAAACGCCACAGTGCTGGTGATGAATATCGTTGACACCAGTACAGAAACGGCACCCTGGGTGCACCATTTATTTAGTTTTAACACAGAGTGTGTCATATGGCTGGCACTCCGTCACCCAACCAGGGACGGCAGTCAGTAGCCAACTGGCAGTCGAACGCTGACCCAGCGCTCGTCTTGTCACAGATTGGACACCAGTGCTAGCCGAACGTTTTCTTCAGGTGAATCCGTGTTACTCCCGGCAGAAGGAAGACATCACGTGTTCAGATACACAGCAGCGCTGACGATGCTTTGCTCTATGATAATGATGGAACGAGCGCGCTCCCTGCTTCCACATAAGAAGAGAACAGGGCGAAATAGGGCGAAAGAGTATGTAGAGGAAGAAAAAAAAAAGAGACGCTCCATTGCACCCGCTCATTTTGCCGCAATGGTAGCAATGGGTTGTGGTATGTTCGAGTGTTTGGTTCTCTTTTGCTGCGAGCTGCCGTCAGAGCTCTGCTCGGCGCACAGCAAGTGTATATGCTTCTGCAGAGCATATGCTCTAGCTCGGCGCTGCGGCGTTTCGATTCTGCCGTTCTTGGCGCGCTTCGTCTACTGCGTCTCAGACTCCAACAGGTTCTGTTGAAGTCGCATTTACATTACCACCGCAGAAGATGGCACCCTGTTACCATTCACGCCATTCAGTCTTCACATGTGTACACTGTTTCTCCACATGAACATATCACATTCTGTGTTTCCACCGCACGGCAAAGGAACGAATTTTTTATTCACCGTTTTACACACAAATCTGTCTCTGCGAAGCAATAGAAGACAATATGTTTCACCCGTGGTTGCACACTAATTACACAAGCGTTCTTATCTGTCAATAAGCCAACGACCGTTGACATCTCCCAACTGTCATTGGGCTAAACTAAGTTGCCTGGTGTTACACGGTACATAGGCCTAACAACCCCAGTTGAGATGCGCATCAAGGAACACCATTGAAACCACTGATCTCGATTATAGGGGCTGCATGACGCTTAGCCGCGCTTTGAGAAGGGCGCGAGTGAAGCCACCGGAAGTTCGGTGCTTGTCCCGGAAGTCTAGTGTCTGCTGGGTTTTATAGTGCATTTAGTTAATGCTTTGGTTCACGCTTTCTTAATTTTTTTGCGTGGGTTTTAATAATCCCTTTTAATATTCAATCATGAGAATGAGGCGTTTTAGTGTGGTGCATGTACACTTTATCAACTAGACTCTAGACATTCTCACACCCCAAATGGCTTCCAAGAAGACTTCTGGGCTTCCATGAGCTGTTACTGCGCAACAAGCAGGCTCTCCTGATATAACAAAAGCAAATCAAGCGCCTTGGACACTGTATCACGGCTCGTAAGACTGGGAAAGCCTGTCAAGCGCTCACTTCCGGGCAAGCCGCTTACTTCCGGTGGCTTCATACCTGTTTGCTGAATGTGCCATCCAGCCCTCTTGTGGAGATCAGTGGTTAAAACCGAAAGAAAGCCAAAAGTGATGTCACATTTTTTTTTTAAATAGAAATTTAAATGACTTATTTGCACATTTTGCATTCATTATACACGCTTACAACAAAATAAATTAAACGTATTTTTTGTGTTTAGAGTAAAAAAAAAAAAAAGAACGTCAATCAGAACGTTTTATACGAATTCATGCAGGAGAGACGCAACGAAAGTCTTATTGGTACCTACATTACAATGGCCGCCCCACTGATCTCTATGTCTATGGTCACTGATCTCTATTATAGTAGGCTGGATCGCGGACCGTGACCTCGGCAGCTGGGGCCGAGTGTCGCCACCGGCGGCATAGAGATCATACATACTAACTCTAGAGGAAAAGGTCCGCCATTTTCCCATGCATTCTGGCTGCCGCAAGCGGCGGAGCATGCAGGCAGACCCACGGGGTCCCACATGGTTACCAACTGCCTTCGATTTCACAAATACATCATCAGAGCAGTGTCATGAACTTCAACAATCCACAAACTTACCGGTGGAAAGATATTCGCGTTCCTTTCGAAGTTTTCTTTTTGAACAGCGCGCAGACGTACGGCCTCGCGTCAACGCTAAACTAAACCAGATACCCGGCTTCGCCGGTGGGCGCGGGTGGGCGCGGTTGAGGAATACGAAACCCCGCAACTGCCAGATTTCTGAGATTTCGACAGAAGGGAAGTTAATGCAGCGTAAAAACTATATTGCTTTTTATAAGTGTTAGAATAGCTCAGAATTTAGTTTACAACGTTAAATTATCACTGTTGATATTGCTGAGAGTTTTCAGTCTTCGCGTTTACCATTGCGACTGTCGTCCTTCAGCTGGAAACGTTGCTTTCTTTCTCTCGTGTTCTGTCGCTTTCTTTCGCGATCTTTCACTCGGGACTCCGGGTGTCGGCGCACGGGATTTGCCACTCCTCCTCACCCACCTTTACCCCCCTGACCGGCGGCCATTGATTGACACCAGCCAATGCATGGGACTCTATGGGAAGAACAAGAAAAATTGATGTTTTCCCTTGTTTCTAAGCAGGTAAAATAAATATTTTGTGGTCGGGAGTGACTCCGCTGTAGTGCAGCTCAATGACGTGAGAGTTACCTAGAGTTACCGCGGAGTCGGTGGCGGTTTCGTTGAGTTGGGTTTAGCGGACGACAAGCTCGAAGGCTTTGCTACGCGGAATTCGCTCACTCCCGGAAAGCCGCTGTCAAGACGGAACTTCTTTGTCATTCATCAACTGCTGTGCTTCCCTAAAAACGGTCTTATTGACGGCAAGTTCCTTTGTTTACTCCACTTCTAGAGCAAGCTTGCCAGCTCAGCCGTAGGTGCTCCGATACGTTTGATTTTTTTTATTCGGCGACTGGACGTTTGACAAATACCGATTCGATCTCTAAACACCCGACATAAGGATCGCAGCGCACCATAAAACACTCACTTCCGAGCACAGCGTACATGCTTCAATATGCTTACTTTTGTGCGTTTCTCCAATAGACTTGCGTGTATTGCCTGGTGTCAAGCAATGGCCGCCAGTGGCGACACCGACGGGCTCCCGATCCGCGATCCAGCCTACTAAAATAGAGATCAGAGCCGTATATGATAGAGATCAGTGTCTATGGTGCCTGGAACGCGTCTCCCACTGGTGTGTTTACCGCGTCCAAAAAAAAGTGGACTCTCGATTTTTACCTGGTGACGTCATAGAAGTGTTATGCTGTCGCCGGTCGCGATCCTGGCGGTGTCCCAACAGTGGTGGTGGTTGTAGCAGACACCTGTTCTGCTGCAGGTCGCACTCTGGTGCGACAGTCCACGGAAGCTTCGGCAGCCAGAAGTTGGGACGTCATGACGACAGCGACACTCGGGTTCGCTCGTGCTTTTCGCCAGCATTTCTACGACCAACCGCCAGAATCGCGACATGCAACAGCATGACACTCCGGCTTGTGTGACGTCATTTGTTTCCACTTCGAGACCACTTTTGATGTATGGGCGGGATAGGACGCTAAACACACCACTCGGAGACGAACTCCAGGCACCATACTATATCTATTTGCTGGATCGCGTTTGCTCGCTCCGCGAGTGCGGCCACTGGCGGCCATCTTTTTGGTGGAGTTATATTACCTCTATTCAACGTTACTACAACACTCAGTTGGGAAACTTGCCGTCGAAACCTGGGCCGCTGGCGTCCACCGAGACCGAGCTAAATACGACAACAGCGCCACTCTTTATCATTTCTCTGTACTGTGGTCACCTTGAGCTTTTACAAAGCATTTTTTGCATAAAAACAAACGGAAAAAACTCTTTTTCTATGAAATTTTTTGGAGTTTAGTACAAAATGAAGGGCGCGTGATTTTTTTATAATCTTTAGTTTGCAAGGTTTTGCGGAACAATTAATATTGTTTTTATACAACCATACATCAGCGGTACTTTCAGGTAGCCCGTCCCGACCTAGGTGAATTTTAACTTCGGTAGTAATTCGCGGCGTGTCCACTGGGGAGACGGGGGTGGCACCCCTGTAACCTCTTCCGCTGTATCTGTTTCGGCGCCAAAAGGCCGATTAAAGCCAAAATAGAAGCAACGTGTAATTCCTCGAGTGGCCACTGCGGAAGAAATGGCGGCGTTGTGTTCGCCATTAGCTCGGTTCTGGTGGACAGATTGGGACCACTTTTTCAGAGCAGTCTCTATGGCAGTTTCCCAATTGAGTGGTTCTAGTAACGCTGTCTCTAGCCAATGTACAGCTGGTGCAGCCACTATCATGCATCCATGGCAGACAGCGTTGTGGCAGTTGTGGTGGCGGGCTGCCGTAAAAATACCGTGGGTGATATTTCGTTCTTAATTGAGATTGTTCGACGAAACATGTTGTTGAAACCCGGCGAGAACGGTAGCCCGATATTTGAGGACCCGGGGAAAGTTTCACAAAATCGCAGCGCCGAAGAAAAGCAGCACAACACGCATCGATAGTCGCATCAAAAGAATCATCGAAAGGAGACGCCGGTACGGCGTCTGCTTTCGATGCGAGCTGCGCTGCTTTCCCTCGGTGCTGCGCTTTCATAGAATCTTTGCCGGGTCGTACCCGCCGGGTCATCAAAGATGAGGCTACCGTTCACGCCGGGTTTTAAGAATCTGCTTCGTCGAACAACTTCAATCAAGCACGAAATATCACCCACGGACCCCACGGTACAGTGTACTAGACCCACGGCTATTTTTATGGCAGCCTGCCGCCCAACGTTACTAAAACCCTTAGTTGGGAAACTCGCCCTTGAAACCTGGGCCACTGGCGTCCACCGAGACCGAGCTAAATACGATAGCAGCGCCACCCTTTAGCGACGAGTTGACAGCGCCACCCTTTAGCGACGAGTTGACACATGAAAGCTGTTTTACATAGCTACTGCGAGATGGCCCGGCGAGATGTCGCCACCGGCCCTTGCCCGACTCGACGTGCAGCCGT